TTGCAAAATCAACACATTTTGGAGATCCTATAGGACACTATCATATAACTCATAGTTAAGAGTATATATAAAGGCAAGAGTGAAGCCTTCTTTAGTCTTGCCAATGCCTTTTTAGTTCTTAGTCTTGTCTCTCAAGGCTTTCTAAGTCTTCTTTTCTATGGCAGTAGCCATTTTAGTTTAATATTACATCATCTTTGAGTGATTTTTTAGTCTTTTTCAGTGACATAAGAATGTATTGATATTTTAATTCTTTGAGGTTTATATTCTTGACACAAAAAAGCTTCGCTATAAGATAATATCAAATCTACTTACATTTATATTCTATCTAATACTTATCTAGGTAAATATGTATATCCATGCCATATACATGGAGGCAAGAATGAAGCCTTTTTCACTTTTATCAATGCCTTTTTAGTCCTTAGTCTTGTTTCAAGAGTTTTTAGTCTTCTTGTTTTTGGCAATAGCCATTCTTGTTTAATATTATACTATCTTTGAGTAATTTTTTAGTCTTTTTGAGTGATGCAAGAGTGTCTTAATCTTTTAGTTTTGTAAGATTCATATACTTGATAAGATATAATTACCATAAAAGTAATAAAGATGATATATAATGATGGACATGCATATAATGTTAAGAATCATAACAACTAACTATGATGTTCAAGATATTGTTGTAAAGTATATGGATTTGATTTTTTTAAAATAATATAAAATTTAAAAATTAATATTTATTTTAAATAAATTAATAGCTGTAATAATTTTCAATCAAATATATTTAATGATAATCTAAAAATTTAAAGAAAATAGCTATAAATTTATTTATAATATTTATATAAAATTTTAATTAGCTATATGTATTCATATTTTTATTCAACTTTTATTTGAAACTTTGTGGCTCTTTTCAAAGATATAAGATTTTTAAAAAGTCAAAAAAATATCATGTCATATATATATATATATATATATACATACATATATACATATGATATCAATAAATTAAAAAAATTATTAAAAATAATATTGGTTTATAAATTAAATTAGACTATGATATAGATAACTTAAACAAAAATGAAATATCTTTTGAACAAACAACTATATTAATCATCTATGATATTCTTTCAAAAAAATTATTGTTTAATTTATCTTGAGGTTTAAAAAAATTAACTATGCATAAAATCTAAATGAAATTGAATCTTGGAAAAAAAAAATACTTCAAGAGGCTATTTTAATAGCATTCTAAATGAAACAGTTCTTTAAATTACTTTTGATATTGGAGAATAATTTGAGAAATATTTCTAAGCCTATTCCTAAAGTATTTGTGTTTGACATATGATTCATCAAAACCTATTAAAACATGATAAACCTATGAATCAAGATATAGATAAACAAGTTTTTTTTATTATTATTATTCTTTATTTTTAAATCTTCCTAATTTACTAGTTTATGATGATAAAAATAAATAAAATAAAGTATTTAGGTTTGAATAAATTGATTTGGATATTCATGGTTAGCTAAGTCTTTACAATATGACTGAGTTAGCCACTTCTTTACAATAGCAAATCATATGTTGGTCATAAATGCATGTGATTCAATTTTGTAAAACCAGACTACATGTTTTTTATTATTTGAGAACAAAGAGGATTATATGTGTAGTTTTATTGTTGGAATGAATCTCAATTTAAAAAAAATTCATTTTACTATTTCACGTGATAGCTTTATCTTACAATCAGTCATTCATTCTTTTTCTTTTTAAAATTATTATTAAAGTTTTACAAGTCACAAAATTTTAATTATAATTTGTGAGATTTTGATTTCATGTTGTATTAATTGGAGTTACGTTTTAAAAATAGAAATTAACCAAGCTATCATCACTCCCAATTATTGTAAGCAAAACTCACAATGTATTCCATGTCTATTTTTCCAACTTTTGTTTATTACAAAAAAAAAAAAAAAAAAAAAAAAACTGATTTGATTACACAATAACATGAATTGTGTGTTTTCAAATTTCTATTTAAATTAATAAAATAAAATAAAATAAGAAAAACTAAAAACGAGGAATCCGAGAGGAAGACTAAAATCCTCCAAAATCTTGTCATTCTCTCGTCGTGGAAGTCAACACGCGATAATTCAACCCACTCATTCATCCATGCATCCGTGTTTGGCAGCTTCTCTACTGCCAACTCAGCAGTGGTGGGAGCCAGCTAGGATCCAAACGGGAGAGTCTGGCAGTCCAGATGGAGCCCTCACGTGATTGGCCCCCACCCCAGACAGTGGACTCAGCCAGCAGCAGGGAGCAGCTCTTTCAGGGCCTTTTGTCCAGGGGGGGGGTTGTTTCCATCCAGAACGGTCATGCTCCCCACGGCCCTGTCATCAGCCCCGTCAGTGGCAGGAAGGAAGGGCTGAATGGGGTTGCTTGGTGATAAGTGTGGGGCTCTATTTCCGTTCGTGGTGATCCTGTCCCAGAGGGACGAAAGTGGATTTTGAAGGGGAACCAAGCCAAGGGACCAGTTTATATTTCCCTTTTGTCAGCTCCTTCATTTTTATAGGTAAACTAGATCTAGATTCCCTGTACAGGAGGAATATAGGCAATTTGTTATATTGCTTTCTGGAATATTGTATGGGATATTCTCTTTATTCATTAATTCCTTATTATTTATTATTATTATGTTGATGATTTCTTTGGTGATGTTGCTACTCCCATGCATGAAAAATCTATGGACCTTATTCTCCTCAAAATTCTTATGTGCTTTGCTCTCCTTTCATGATGCCTCTAATATTACCTTCATCACTCTTTCATATTGTGTTTCTAAATGTTAAAAAGCAGTATGTGTGTGTGTGCGTTCAAATATATATATATATATATATATATATATATTTATATTAAGAATACCCTGGTCAAGATATGATGCAACTATTTATTTGGAGGATGTGAAAACTTTTTATATGTTGTGAACCTTATAAGAAATACCTTAAGAGTGTTGGAATAAATGAATGAAACACCCAAAGAAACAACATATAAAAAGTTGAATAAGACAATGCTATAACTTTAAGCTTTACCTTGGGTCTTTATGTAAACATGCGTTCAATCAGGATATAATTTCTCACACCCTCAGTGAGAGAGATAGAGCATTTATTTAAATAACGGTGAGATGTGTTGTCAATTCAATTTAAATAAATAACAATTCAAATAAAAACAGAAATAGTCAAGGGTTGCTATAATAATTTACAGAATGATGTGTAAGGTATCAGAATTCAACTGAAAGTTGAGATAACCAAATAATAATAACGACATCTTATATGAACAAACCCCAATATTGTGCAGAGCAATGATTTGAAATGAGCATGAAATAAATAAATAAATGTCTGCACATGAGCTTGAGTTTGTCATGACCACTTGAACTCAACCACTTTTGATGAATGTAAAATTTTACATTGAACCTTTAATCACATGTTTTGAATATTGTACCAATTTCCAGATATAGTTTAGGAGTTTGAATACCATGTATCAACTGATTGCAGGGATGCACATCCAATTACAAAGTATCATTACCAAAAACTTATTTACTTTTATAGATATATGAGTAAATCTGATTGTCTACTTCAATATTGACATGCTTGGAGTGGTGATGAACAGCTTTAAAGATTTGAATTCAACTCAATCCATGTGATATTTGAATTATTACCCTAATTATTTTTTTAAAAAAAAGATCTATATTCAAAACAAGTACATGAAAAATGAAAATGAAAAAAATAAAAAAACAATTCATTCATACATAAATAAATATATATATATATATATATATCTGTTGCATTCATTTGGAAGTCAATCTGGCACTGGCATCCTGAGCAGAATGCGGCGAGGGCATTAAAAGTCAAGTTGCTTGAGCACAAATACAAAGTGTTGAAAATCTTGTACCCAACAGTGGGCAAAAACTAGAAGTAAGCTACCAGCTCATCAGTGTTACTCACTGACTGAAAATCTGTCCGTCTGTTTCATTCCTTTGCCGTCGTATCGGCACCTTGTGCAGAAAAGCGAACAGTTCTGAGAACGGTGTGAGCCAAGGCGGAGGCAATAAGCGTAGCGAGCAATCACAAAGCAAAAAGCAGTTACCAGAGAAAAAAGCAGGGTCTCTGAGTGTAGAAAGAATCAGGTATACTCTCTCGAGCAAGAGCGTGCAAAAAGCACACAAGCTCAGAGAGTCGGTTCTCACACGGACCAGCACAAGATGATTCTGAGATGCGTTAACCCAATTAGAGGAATGTTAATTTAGCTCAAGGGATTGGAGTTAGGGGGAATGGGGTGGGATGAGTAGGATCGGTGATTAGTGGGGAATGATATGCTCTGGTGGCGAAACAGGGCCGAGGTGTAGGGATCCTACGCCATCCACAGATGAATTCGTAGTATCAGAATCCTGGAGTTCGGCGGAGATTGCGATGATGAAGGCTTTCGCTGCGCAGCGAAGGGGGCACAGCCCCGGCGGAAGATCCCGGCGCTGGGAGGCAACTGGACGTCAACCCAGGTTGCCTTACGACTCCCTGCCCGCCCGCCCGCCTGCCTGACTGACTGACTGACCTGACTGAGGATGAGCGCACCGGAAGGCGTAAGTTCAGTGGCTGGGACGAGGGGACGCTTTTAGCGATGGAAGTAAGGGAGGAAGAGGGACATGGAGTGAGGCGGCTCATTCAGGTTTCGAGGGTTCGTGGATTTTGGTTTAGAATATTTAGTCATATGCAAGCCATGATATTCGCAGAGGGTGGCAGCGGTACTTTATGGCCGGGAGGGGCGCGCATGGCTAAAAAGGCCTGGGGAGAATTCTTCTAGGGTCTGCCCGAATGGAACGGGAGCGGGGTGGGTTCATCGATGCGATGAAAGTATCGTCTTCCTCCTCCTGCTCGTCGTCGTCGTCTTGCTCAACGCAATCAGCAACTACCAGTCTGGATGCCCAAGCGGAGCCATAGGAAAGAGGCCTGGCAACTACATTCATCGTGGGTGGGGGACCAGTTGTAGTGGGAGTGTTGTGTAATTGCGGTGCTAGTGGCAGCAGGTTCTCCTGCGATCGCAGGCAGGCTGCCCAGGCGAGAGCCCTCCTCTGCTAGCAAGGCTGCGCCGAGCTTTTCGCCGCCGCACTTTTGAACTAGCCCATGCCTAAGGAAACTGGCTAAGGAGGCTAGGGGAAAGACGAAAAGAGGAAAGGCAGCGGCACCTCCAATCCTCTCTACACCACCACAGTCAATAGCCTCGAGAGTTTGATGAGGAGCTATGTGTGTATCTATGTATGCGCAAAGCAGCGGCATCGTAGTGGTATCATCTCCCTCACACCTGCTCGCTCGTGACATCTACTGGTAGCGAGCTAGCCCTTCACCTATCTGCTGCCATCCCTGTTCCTATTCTACGAGAGGGGGGCTGCTGCCGAGGTGGTGGTGTTGCCTTTGAATGGACACATCCCTCCCTGCCTGCTGACACTCCATGTTCGCAGCAGCTCCAAGTTCCAACCAACCGCTTCCGCCACCATTCATAGCAGCCAGCCCCACGGGTTACTGCTTTTTCCAAGGCGGTTGCACCTGCACGCTCCGCTCTTTGCATCTTTCCGCGACGCTTCTGGGTCAAGCCTCCACCTAATATGCTCTAGTTCTAGTTCGGAATAGCCTGGCACGCAACCTGGTGAACAAAGAGAAGCAGGAAGAGGAGGAATTCGTCGATGCTGGAGTTATAGCTTTACCCCGGGTGGTGTGTTCCTCGATTGTGGGAGTAGTGACTAGTAGGTACTGGATTGCACAGCAGTCCACGAACGACTTTTGATTTTCTTTTTTTTCCCGCATTTCTTCTAATACAAATTTGGGTTTTCGTTTGTTTCTCGCTGCTCGATTCTCGCCTGATTCGGGCGAAGCGATTGCTGTAGATTTGCGGCGAGGAAGGCTAGGCCTAGTGGCGGAGAGAGAGGGATTGTGATTTTTGATTCCCCGTTGTCTGCGTCCGGGTTGTAGAAGTGGCCCAAGAGGTGGGGCCCGAGTGAATCAGTGTGAGCGCAGGTGAGTGTGGGTGTCTGTTCGCGGTATCGAGGACTGGTTGGGGGTGAGTGGTGTGAATTGCGAATTGGGGCAGTGGAAGAAGAAGATAGGTGATGTGTGATAGTGTTGGGGAGTGAAGGTGGAGAGATTCGGAGCTGTCACAGTGGCAAGTGTGGCGCCGGCGGTGACAACGGGAGGGGGTGGAGGAGAAGGGGGTGTCACCACAGGAGGCAGGGTGGAGGGAGGGCCGCTCAAAGACGGGGATCTTTCACTGGGCTTCGGCTACGCGCCCCGGGTGCCTGCCAGTCTGAGCGACGCTGTGCCCCCGGGTTCTCATGCAGGGCTGTGGGGGCGGCCTTCCGTAGCTTACAGCTTCCGCGATGCCGGTGCAGCCCTCGGCGTGGGTTTAGCAGGCACCCAACGCGAAATTTTCCGCGACATCCTCTCTCGCGGGGAAGAGTTCGGCTCTCCGTATGCAGAAGTTTTGAAGCAGGATAGTGAGCGCGAACGCGCTGTTCAGCAACAACACCACCATCAACAGCAGCAGCAACATCATCGTCAACAGCAGGTTTTGCACGGCGTCCAGAGACAAGTTAATATCGTAGGAGAAGGACCGAATTATGGAGATGCTGGGCGAGGAGAAGGCGAGAGTAGCAGTAGTGGCAGCGTGGACAAAGGTGGACACCAGGGCGGTCAAGCAGGAATGGAACCATGGGGGGCTCGCACTTTAAGGGACGACGTGGTGCGGGTAATGGACGTGCAGCCGCTTAACGAACAACCACCATCCCGTCAAGCTTCACAACACAATCCCCAGACTGCACAACCTAATGTTGACGCCGCCTCGCAAGTGCATCAGCTCCAACTAGGTTTGTCGCACTTCTCACTTTTCCCAATCTGCTCCATTAACACATCGCATGGTTACACCAATTCAAACTGATCAGGTTTTAGCGTCCAACCGTCTTTTCGTTTCATGTTCCGCTAAATTTGCAAATCAGCTGCGGCGACCATCTTCATTGTCATGTTCCAATTTCCGACCTAGAGGTAGTGTGCAGCTTGAGCTGCTCCAAGATCTTGGTTTCATGTTTGCACTTTGTACCGATTTTTCAATGGGGATTGTTGATTTGGGATCGTTGGGATTTGTTTGGGGATAAAGATGCGGCAAAGCACAAGCTTCCGCAAGTATCACAAGTGATGGGCCACGGCTCAACGGCTTGTCAAGAATGTGGAAATCAAGCCAAGAAAGATTGCTCTTTCCAGAGGTGTCGAACGTGTTGCAAGAGCAGAGACTTCGATTGTGCAACCCACGTCAAGAGCACTTGGGTTCCAGCCTCTAAGAGGCGTGAGCGTCAAGCCGCGGAGGCAGCAGCAGCAGCCGCTGGACAACCCAGGCCAAAGTCGAAACGTGCCCGCACCCTCGCACTGTCTGTACCTGCCGGAGCAACCACATCTATGACTACAACGTCTGCAAATTCGCCCCGCGGCTCTGATATCAACTCTGGTCACCCATCTCAACCAGGTCAGGCAGTTCTTCACCACCTGTAGCCTTGGTTCTCTTTACCCTCATCATACTCCAGCTGATCGCAATATTTACGCTCTCTGCTTGCTGATCTATCCTTTGTTGGATCCCGAGTTCGTTTTTAAGAGGGTTTGTTGAGTCGGGACGATGGTTTTTTGCTGAGCAGCCCAAGGCAGGGGGGGATTGCCGCCGGAAGTGCGAGCTCAAGCGCTATTCAAGTGTGTGCGAGTGACAGGCGTGGAAGATGGCGAAAATGAGTGTGCTTATCAAGCCACAGTGAAGATAGGAGGACACATTTTCAAGGGACTGTTGTATGATCAAGGGCTAGATCTTGCTCCACCAGCTGTTACATCGAATCCGAGCGAGCTACACCTGGGCGGAGGTGGAGCAGGGGGCGTGCGAAGCAACCTTCCATCGTCGTCCCCTCTGCTGGATCCTTCTGGAATGTATGGTCCTGGCAACGCGCTTCTTGGGGGTGAGGATTCGCGTGTACCTCCGTGGTTTACGTAGTAGCAAGGGGTCTGATTGGGCTTGAATGAGCCCTCTAAGGCGATGATCCCAGCACTGTGGTCCAGCGACGAATGGTACACTGTGTGGCAGACTGTTTCATGAGGGACAAATTTTGTAAGAAGTTAAGACTGATAGGGTTGGACTAGGATGGAGTTTGACGATGCTGTACATGGTGTATGATTGAACATGACCAGATTTAAATTTCGAAGTCGCTGCTGCTGTCTCTTGGTTTTTAGGCATATACATCTGTTTCTCTGGTATTCTTTATCGCGACTGCAGTAAGCTTAGTGACTTTCCCCTGATATTTTTGCCCCCCGCCCCTCTGCTTCATGCTTTGCAGAAGTTCTACTGTTCGAGAAGAGCACTTCGCCTGCGGTTTTGCAGACTTTGTATGTTTCTGGGGTTCGGGGTTTCTCAGCTTCTTTTGTTGATGAGGTTGTGCTTTGAGTCGGCTCTATGCTTCTGTCGCATGACAGCATCCTGACCTTCTCATTCCAGCACTTTACTGTTGTCAATTGAACGAGAATCTCTCTTTTAGGGTTGTTCAGCTTTGCAACGAACAGTGTACGCCATTTATCGGTGCAACACTCTCTGCGTTCACAGTGTAGTCAGAGCAGGTCTGTTCTCTGGAACCAGAGCCTCTCTCGGCACTGTACTCTTCGCGTTCTTAACTCGCAGACGTATAGTTAACTAGTCACTGATGTATGCTGTTTCTTGGAGGTAGTGTCTCCGTTTTCTAGTGTGAGCTTGTTGACTCGACCAGTGGTCTCCTCTGGTGCACAAGTCGGTCCCTTTCTGCAAGATTAGCCTCGCCAGGAAATAACGTAAAGCTTCTTTTTTCTTCTCTTTTCTGTTCTTTTTCTTTTTCTTTTTAAGCTGCTGCCAAGAGCCTGGACCTGTTACTGTTGGTAGCATCCCCTTAGTCTTCACCCAGACTTGGCCATGCGACAACTGTCTGTGTCTGCTGCACAAATCTTGCGGTGTGTTGATGCTGGTCTACCCCACCTGGAGGGAGGGATACCGATCCGAGTTGGTCACTTGGACATCAGCGTATATAGTTTCCAGTTGTGTGTAAATGCGTATCCCATTTGTGTATCGATAGAGCCTTACGCGATTCCGGATCAGGTGATCAAATAGAATCTGAGTAAGAATTGGTGCAGACTGCTGATAGTTCTGTGCAACCACGGGCAGGCTGTACTTCGAATGGTTGCATGATATTTGTGTGATCTGTCAAATCTTCCTTGGGTCTTTCTTGAGAGCATCTGTCAGCCGCGGAGAAATGGTAACTTGGCGAGATTGACCCCAAGCTGGTTGTTTAGTACCAGGGAGGGCGGTCGTAGCAGTACTGCTGAATTTTCCGGTCCTCCAAAAGCCTTTTTCACCTCAGTTGAATTCTGAGGCCCCACACAGTTACCCCATCCTCTGACCCTGGCAAGTAAGCTACTTGAACGACCCAAGCCATTTCATTAGATAACAGTGTCAGAGGCATTTGAGTGCGCGCGCAAGGGTTATTTCCGACTGTGGCTAACTCCCTCGTCACATGGATACACGGACATGCTCATGGATATGTTCACAAGCTATCTCGCCAAGTAGGAGGCAGTATCGAACTCCATGTCGGTTTTGCTAGCGATTCTGTGTGGGCATCGCAAGATCTGTCCAACACACAGCAGAATACTCTAGCTTCCTGTTTGTTTTTTGTTTTTTTCCTATCTTTCTGTCTATCTATCTGCCTTTCTATCCTTCTTCTGTTCTGTCATCCTTTCCTTTTCTTTCCTGTCTGGACTATTTGTCAACCTCGTGCACTATTCTGTTTCTGTCAACCTCTAGGGGTCAATCCATTGTGGCAGTTTTGGATTCCTTTTGTGTCATACTTTAAGCCTCATACTGTTAGGCCACATTATCAGGGTGGAGTGGTGGATGTGATGAATGCCTTCACCTGGCAATTAGGGGAATCCTATGCAACATTTCAGCATATTTCTCTTTCAAGTTTATATATATATATATATGTATATGTCCATGACTGTGAATGAGAGAGGGGCAAGTTGTGGATGTGAAGGTGGCTCCAAGCAGACTCATTGGACATTTCAAGAGGGAACCCATTATTGTACCCTCTTCAGAGAACTCTCCTGTCAGACATCCATTATACTGTTTTAAAAACAACTTACAAACAGAGGGCTCTCTTCAGTTGATGCAGAGATGTGAGTATGGGCACCATGAGTGGCATTCTGAACTTTGAAACCTAAGCACCCCTGTTTTACACAATTATCTATGTTGTAACTAGTGTTCTGTCAAGGATATAGTGATAAGCTACAGTACTGCCCCCCTTGCAAGCTTTCCATACATGAAAAGCCTTTTTGAATAGTCAGATTTTATTATGTGTTTGCTGTTGTCACAATGGAATATTTGTCAACAGTAAATTTGTCTGCTGGCTTTCCATGTTTTGGCCACTTAAGCATCCAACTGTGAGAGTTGTTTGATAGGGTTTTGAACAACATCCATTCAGCTCTGAGGACAAAAATCTCTCTGAGATGTTTGAAAATATTTTTGTAAATAAGTAAACATGGAAACAGAATCTCACATACAATAAATTCTAAATCATTAATCTCACATTATTTAGAATCAAGCTTTTCCTTGATGGCTGCTTCAGTAAGTGCATTTCTCACATTGCAACCCAAGATGTTTGTCTACATAAGTCAAAGTAAATAATAAAATAAAACTATAATCATTGTTTTTATTATTATTGTGACTGTTGTCACTTTCTTAAATTTACATGAAGACAAAGACAAAGGTTAACATCTTGTGGTCTTGGTTTGCAAACAGTCACATACCCAAAATTTCTAGGGTTGGTTTTATTTTATTTTATTTTTGTTATTTTAATTTATGATGACAGTTTCTTAATCAAGGTGGCTAAAAATTCCAGAGGAATGGCAAAACATGCGTATTCTTAATAAAGAAGAAGTCTCATTCATTGAATGTAATTCAGGCAGTGATCACATATACAAGAATGTGTCAGTGAAGTGTTCACATGTTCACTGCCTCAGACTGTCAATGTAGAAAAAAACCAGCAATCACTGTAGACAAAGACAAACATAAAAGTTAAGAGTTGAAAGTAATTTATTTTCACCTTGGACCCCTAGAATCCAAATTTTGATCATGTTTGATTGATTCACAAAAAAAATTTCCATGGTGATATGGAAAGGGAAACTGACATCCTATATAAGTGGTATGTGTCATAGTTAAATTGGAGTTTTCTTTTTTTTCAAGAGTGGGTCTGGAGAACATTTCCCTAAGTTTTAAGCATAGGGAAACATGTGTTTAGCATCTTGGCTTGATTTTTTCATTGATCATGTAGATTATAAAACTCATGAAAAGTTTTATTCAAAATGCTTTGGTTGATTTTACTTGAAAACTAGGATGATCAAATTCATATCATTTATTCAAATGTCAAATTTTATATACAAAAAAAAACTATTATATTTAAATATAAATAAGTAAATATACAGAGAGTTGTTAAAGCTACATCCCTTTTTGCCATCTCATCATTGATTTTGTCCATCCCCATCTCTATCTGTCATGTCTTTGTTCCATTCTCTTGTTCTATATTGCCCTCTCTCATTCATAATTCTTTGTTCTTGTCCCCCATCTCCATCCTTCTCCCTCATTCCGTGTCTCCCATCCCAAATCCCCATTTCCTTCATTTTTGTACAATATCTTGCACAATTAGGAGATCAACTAATCAAGCAAGACATAAATGAGACTGAGGTCTTATGCTAGGAATAAGAATGGGATCATGGGAGAGGAGAGAGAGGAAAGATTGGGAAGGGAGATGTGAAACAAATAAGGAGAATGAAGACAGTAAATAAAGGATAAGGAATAAGAAACAAGGGAGGGAAAGAGAAACAAGAGACAAGGAATGAGAAACAGAGATAGGGATGAACAAAATCAATGATGAGATGGCAAGGGAGGATATGGCTTTAACATTCATATATATATATATATATATATTGATTATACAAAATTATTATTTAGTTATTATATTTTTAAGTTAAAAAATTTAAAATAGTTATTATATTTTATAAGTTTTTAATTTAATTTTAATATATATATATATATATATATATATTCATAAATTTTAGAAATAAATAAATTATAATCACTATTAGATACAAATATAATACAAAGATATGAAATTCAAGGATATTTATACATAAAAATTTCATTATTTTTATATATTAAAATATTATGCATGGTATCATATTTAAGTATTTAATTTATTTTTTGATTTTTTGATGAATTTTCAACATTAGCATTAAATAACTTTGTAATATAAAATTTAAGTAAAAACTCTAAAAAATGGCTATAAAATTAGTGAGGACATGATATATTTTAAAAAAGTAAGTAAAAATAATTATGAAAGGCATTTTAGAATACTTCTTTTAGAAAAAAATATTAATAACCAAATTATTTGATTTCTAAATAATGGCATCATATAACATATATATATATATATATATATATATATATATATTTAATACATTTTTATATAAATATTATGAACATTCATAAGACGATTTTAGTTTTTAAATCTACATAATTTAAAATAAATATTGTTGTTATTACTATAATTTTTATTTATCAAAAAATTATAAGTATTTCAAAATTAACATATATTAGCTTCATTAAAATAGTAATCTAATTAAGATGAAATATTTATTAGTAATAATAATAAATAAAAATTCTACTAAGAAATTTTAATTAAGAATATATAAATAAAGTAAAATTTAAAATTATTACATATATAAAGTTTTTAATTAATTTTTTAATATTTTTATTAAAATAAATATTATTAAATATAATATAAAAAGATAATTTATTTATATAGAGAATTTAATTGATAAATATATTGATTTTTTTAAAGGTTTCAAAATTTACAAGTAATTTTAATAGAAGTTTTAAGGATTCTTTGAAGTAAAATATTAAAGTATTTATTTTAATTTTTTCAAAGATACTTGAAATTATTATTATTATTATTATTATTATTTTATTTTTAAAATATATCATTAAATTCATATATTTAGAATATTCTTTAAACTTCTAAGTCATAGTATAATTTTCAAAATCTTCTTAAAAGATTTCATAAGATCTATTTATCATAGTAAATTGTGTAAAATATATATATATATATATATATATATATAAATCTTACTATTAAGGAATTTAAAATAATCAAAGTGTTATGCT